CATCCATCCATCCATCCATCCGTTCACACACCAGCGTTTGTTTAGTTTTGCAGATGTGTCACTGAATGTACATCTAAAGACACAATCATTAATTTCCGTCTCAGCCAAGGCTCGCTGAATGAAGGGCGCCAGCGCCCTCTGCTCATCGGCAGTGAGCAAGAAATCACCTTCATAGAGGACTCCATCGTCACCTTCTTCTGGTGGCCCTCTCCTCGTCATGAAGGTCTCGACAGCCCCCGTCTTGCCTCGAAAGTTCTAGAGATTATGCAGACAGCTGAACGCAATCTATATATTGAATTATATATGGCTCGCCTTGCGTAGGTGATGAAAAATGTTGGGACTGCTGCCAACACGGCGAGTCTAAGCCCGCCACCTTCGAGATACTCGTCACGGACTGCTCGCAGAAACTGGGCTGCGACAGGCTGCTTCACCGGGGCGGAAGACACGCCTGCCAAGCTGGCAACTGGGGCAAGGTTTGTGCTGCAGAAGCTTACGGCAGTCTGACGGCAGTGTCAGATGACCTCGCAGCACGGCGATTTGCTCCTGCGTGATTGCCGCGCCAAAATCAGCCGCAGATGCACCGACTCCCAGCGTTCTCAGAGGTCCGAAGACGTCCTTGCACATATCAGGACTTTCTAGAGGGCACACAGGTCACATGTACGTCCAAATAGATAGAATGCGAGCTATCAGGATCTATCAGTCAAGAAGGGCTGAGTGTCCAAGGGCTCGTGCCAGTCTCCCTGCACCTTAACCGGTTCTGGGACAAGGACGACCGTCTCGGCATGGAAGCTCTTGGGCGGTTCGGGCGCCTGAACCCGTGGCGCTGGCATCTTCAGCAGCCCACCATCTTCGGACAAGATGGCTACGTCCGACAGGTCGCAGCTTGCAGCGCTGTTGATCAACTGCATGCAGAAATCCAGATCCCCTCGAAAGGAGTAATGGGATCGCATTTTTGTCAGGGTGCTTTGAAGCAGATCCTCGTTGATAGCTTTCCGCATGATCTCCTGGCTCTCCTCGTGCTCGCACTCGGTCAAGGCACCGACAGCCAGGCAGGCCCACCTGAAGTTTGGTTGCTGCGAAAGCATAGGAGTCTTTTCAAGGATCAGCCAAGGGACGGCAGCACGTCTGCAATGGAGCTGACATGCACCTCTGCAACGCGCAGAATCTGGTCCTGTCAGAGCCGGCCGGACAAAACAACTTGGACGAACAGCTTTGGTGGTCAGCGTTGACAATGGACATCACAGGAACTGAGAGTATACCACTGTGGCAGTCGGCACACATGTGGAGCATGCTAGCATACCCGTGGAAGTCGGACATGAAGAAAACACGACATCCACTAATCGCCAATATGGCATGCTAACCGTCAGCGGCTTCCCGTCGTATACAGTCTCTGTAGCCGTGACGGTCCAGGAAGGTGAAGGTGTGAGGCAGCTCCGGGTGAACCAGAGCCCAGCGGACCTCTACTCCGCAGCGGCAGCTAGCCGTCAATGGCCATTAACACCATCAAAGCAAACTGCATCGGAGAGAAACTCATAAACCCTAAACCCTAAACCCTCGACTCATCTCAAAACTGAGAGCAAGGCAGGCACGAATTGAGCTGCCACGGCCAGGGCAGCAAAGCAGCGATGCACCACCTCCGCACATGTAGTAATACTCTAAACCCTACCGTACTGTAACAGGAAGTACAGCTGTTACATCATATAACGTAACAGAATATGTAACACAACAAAATATGACATAACCTGCCGGTCCAACCTTCCAAAGGGCTTGACCGAGTTGGGGTTTCCCGTTGTATGCGTATCTACAGGCATTCCATGTGCTCCCCGTCCCTCATCCCATAAACGAATCCTGAAGCCTTAACCTTCAATCCTGAAGCCTCAACCCTTACAGAAACGCTTCGAGTAACCCCTCAAGTGAGCACCTGGAAGCTACTGATTGGTGCTTGGGCTCCCCATACTTTACCTTAAGAGCAGGAGGACAAGGATGCTCCAAACTTCCGGCACCTTACCGCGACGCGCTACAGCAACCCTCAAAGATGTTCCAAACTTCCGGTACTGTAGGGGCCGAAGAAATTAGAATACAAGACCAAAAATAAGGAGCCCCCAAAGAGTATAGGGAAGTACTAAGTAAGGCCCCTTTATTGCCCTAAAGCAACCCTCAAGCACTGCCCGGCCTCGGAGCTCTCGGATTGCTTGCTCAGCACGTTGAGGAGAAGCCGTGGACCCCCGGCATCCAAAAACTGACTTGCCGCCTTTTTCGACTCTGTCCTGAAGTTTAGGGTTTAGGGTTTAGGGGTTCAAGGTTTAGGGTTTAGGGTCTAGGGGTTCAAGGTTTAGGGTTTAGGGTTTCGGGGTTCCAGGTTTAGGGTTTAGGAAGGCTTCCTATTCTACAGAGAACCCAA